ATGGCGTCTGTTGGCACGGCCCCGTCATCCATCTGCACCAGAACTGTTTGAAATCTGCTGCCTCAGACCGAAGACTTTAGCCATACATTTCACACTCGGAAGGGAAGGGCTTTGTGAAATGTGAGCTAAGCCTTTTGTTTCATTCCTAATTTATGTCCTCTGCTGACTCTTGATTCTTTTGGCTGCAGACTTAAAAATCTTTCCCCCTACATTTGTGGCTTTGTAGCAATAGCCAGGAAATAAGCTTAAACCATAATTAAAATGCCCTTCCTTTTGGAAAAGAAATTGAAACTCGGTGTATTGGCTGCACAGGAATTCCCAAAGTAGATCCACATGAGAATGAGGAGAGTATTCAGGTTAGAGGTCATCCTGTTGGGGTTGGTGTGCCAAACTTCACTCTTTATAGCCTCTGAAAGACATGTCTTATAACTTGCTGGATTTAATTAATAAACATTTAAAAATCAATCACCATAATAATCATTTTATACTTATGTAACAATTGGATAACCATGTTAGCACAGGAAAAGTTGATTTTTGTGAAACTTAAGTATCCAATAATCAGAATGATGAGTGATGGGAAAGAGAAACAGTAGACAGTGTTCAGAAAAGCATTGCTGTCAGTGATAGCTGATATTTGCCTTGGGGATTAATGCCCCATTTTTTTTTTAAGTAATTCGTATACCCTTCATAATGCAGAAAGAACTGTGGGGTTGCTGGGTGAGACAAGCCTTGCAAGAATCAAACCAACAAATAGCATGGTTTCAGCCTTTGTTTAGTGCCACGCTTCCTTCGTGTCTACTCAGAGACATTCCTTGCTTTTCTTTGAGTCTTTCTTCACTTGAGCTCCACTGCACCGGTGCATCAGTGTGCCAAGGCAGCACCATGCACAGGGTCTGCCTGGGAATATAGCCACTGAGCTCTCTCCCTTGCCCTCCACATGTACATTTTAAAAAATAGATACTTGGATTTCAGTGTAGATCTAAGAATATATTAATTACATTTTCTTTGGAATGCTAATGACTGTGGTGTAAGACCTCATTATGCTAATAGCTGTCCTTTTATGAGCTCACTTAGAGAGAATACAGATCTGTTTCAAGGCAGCATTCCAGAGAAGTTAGGTCTCTATCTTTGTTTCTCTAACAGCCTCCCAAACTGCAGCCAAATCTTCATTCACCCAGCAAGTATTTCATTTTCTTTTCAATAAAATTGATTTCTTACCACAGCTCTTTATGTTGTCATTAATGATGTACTACTCAACTTTGTTTATTAAAGCTCTATTGTATTCAGTCTAAATCTTTCCTCCTTTAAAAAATGACAATAAAGGAGACTGGAGAGGTGAATTAATGGTTAAGAGCACCAGGTTCAATTCCCAGCACCCACATAGTATCTCACAATTGATTGTAATTTCAGTCTCAAGGGATCTAATGCCCTCTTCTGGTCTCCATTGGCACTAGGCACGCACATGGTGCACAGAAATACATGCAGGCAAAACACCCATACACATAAAATCAGTAGATGCAATTAAAAAAATTTAATGACAATATATAGAACTTAAGGCTCTACACATGAATATATTGGAGGGACTATGATGGGAATGAACAAAAAGGCCATGACTCCTTCTAGGGCAGAAAGTGATTCAACTTCCCCGCTAAGGGAATAGCCACAACCTTGGACTGAATCACCTGCAACTTGGAAACAGCAGTTTCTGCTTTTGAGTCTTTGGATATTTTAAGGTGTTTCTACTGATCCAGATATTCTTATTGTGTGGAGTTTCTTTTTACCTAAATTTTGGATTATTTAAATTAAAATTTTAGATTATTTTTGCATTTCAGGAATCTGAGATTACTTTGATAATCTGTAGAAAGATGAGTTCATCTCTCCTGGAAAATGCATGTACACATGGGCCTGCCAAATTCACACAATTTTTTTACAACTATTTTTACATGTATTTAGTGTATGTGTGTGTTGGGGGGAGCACATTGCATGTCCTTATGTTTTAAAAATGGTAAGTCAAGTACATCTATACTCTTTCTGTTGAGTGTTATTTACAGAAAATAGTACTAAGATTCAGAAAGCACCCTGGGTGTCTAAACCACTTTATTCTTTAAGGAGATATGTAGCATGAATATTAGAAGGTCTTATTAATAAAATCAGTCCTGAGCCAGGTATTGGGATGAACTGGAAGATCAGAGAACCAGAACAAGCCACAGCTACCTCACCTCACTGGATCCTCAGCTGCTCTTGTTTCCTCAGACTGGAGGCCTCTGTCTGAGTTCTCATCCAGAATGGGTCTCAGCTGAATTGCTGCTCAAAAGCCTGAATACTTAACCAGCCAAATGCATCTAGTTCCTGGTCTTCACGCCTTATATACCTTTCTGCTTTCTACCACCACTCCCTGGGATTAAAGGCTCACTTCTTGGGATTAAAGGCGTGTGTCACCATGCCTGGCTGTTTCCAATGTGGCCTTGAACTCACAGAGATTCCAGAGGGATTTCTGCCTCTGGGATGCTAGGATTAAAGGTGTGAGTGCCATCATTTTCTAGCCTTTGTATCTAGTGGCTGTTCTGTCTCTGACCCCAGTTAAGTTTATTAGGGTGCACAATATTTTGGGGAACACAATACCACCACAGAGATAGTTATCTTTGCTTAATGTCTTTATTAGTTTTCGCAGCTACCAATAAACATTTCAAATCATTTCAGATTTCTTGGCATATAGTTATATTTTTCTCTTACCCAAACCTACGAGGTGTTGGTAGCATAACACATTTTATGAAAATATATTAGGAACCTTAAGTTTCTTTAGATACAGCTGTCATGTGTCACAATACAATTCTCAAAGCATTAAACACAGTTCTCATACACATGGCAACTGAGCAAATGCCGAGATTCCACTTAGCTCAGCCAGCGAGTTGACAAAGCCATCTCGAGAGCTGCATCGATGGCTTTAGCAAATCAGCTGCATAAAGATCCACTTTTGTGACAGCCTGGAGGGGGGCCAGTGGCTCCTCTATCAGTTCTTTGATTTATAGAATCTAGTTGAGCAGAAAACTCTGTCTAGATACGGCTGCTGCTGGTAAAATGGATCTCCTTGGCCCTGCCCAAACCCATGGTTGCTCCCCATGCACCAGACTCACCTGAATGGCATGTGGGGGAACAGATTGCACCCCACTGCAGCCTTCTGCAGAGCTGCAGTCTCTGTTTCTAACAAGCATCCACACTGCTGCTGCTGCTCGCTGTCCCTAGGTTGCTTTGCCTAAAGACTGAGTGAGGCAGTGGTGGCGGGATAGCCTCCCTCGGGAGGAAGTCCAGGTGGCCTCTGACGGGCTCTTGTCATTTCTCCAGTACCATTTCCATTTTCCTTCCTTGGCTCATCAGAATACACCGGGCTATCCACACTTGGCTTCTATTGCCAAGTCTACCTCCGTCTCAGCACATCTGCCTTCCGCGGATGTTCCCTGTAATGGAAACGTCTACATCTTCAAGAACAGTCAGGTTCCCTGCATCTCCCCCACAGAGGCCTGCTCTCCATTACTTGTGCCATTTCTGTCAATGAGTTCAGTTTTCCTCCAGCCATTATTAGAAGGCTCCCAGACTGTGGTTGTAAACTATAAGCACCCCTCCCCAGGAATCATTAGTGAGCACCCTCTTCAGAGGAGTGCTTCTTAACTTTTGCACATCTGGAAGCATGAGGAGACAATCCTCACTCTTCCCCGCTGCTGCCAGGCCCCAGTGTGATCTTCTGTCCCTGTTTACTCTCTTGACAACAGTAAAGAAGACCTGGAGGACACCAACAGACTTGCTAATGGACTAGGGGCCCCCAACCCTAGACAAAGAACTCCAGGCAGCCAAGGAATGCCCGAGAACCTAAGAAATAGTTGGTTCTGTGTATCAGCCCCCAAATTGGTTATCTAGTACCAAATGGTCATCCCTGAAATTATATACCTACAAGTAACATTATATGCATTGAACAGATTATATGTGTCATTAGTTGAAGAAAAAGAGGCCAGAGGCCATGAATTTAAGGGAAAGCAGAGAGGGGGAGCACATGCGAACAGTTGGAGGGAGAAAAGAGAAAGGGGAAAATGATGTAAGTATCTTTTAATTGTGAAAAAGCAAAAAAGCAAAACCTTCAAAGCTCCAAGGAAGTGTGAAGACTCAGAATGTTAACTCAGGAAGGTGGGGGTGCTCTTGGCACTCTCTGGGAAGATTCTGAAGGATTGATTTCTAGGGATGATCAAATGCGTACCTGGGAGTGTCCCTGGAGAGGGACAGGATGCATGTTTCAGGAGTTTGGGCAGGGCAAAGAAGGGATGACTGAAAAATGACTAAGAAGATGAAATGGGATCAGCTGAGGGACATTTGCTTTTAGAGAGAGGAAACCATTGCAAAGAGAATGAGGAGCGAGAATCCGAGAGAATGCTGAGGTAGAGATGCACATTGCTAATGGGTCAGTGAGGGACAGACAAGTTTCCCAGAGGACAGCCGGACACAATTCTTCTTTCCTTTCCTACCATCCTGCAGTCTTGGATGGGAAGGGCTAAGGGCAGAGAGACAGACCCAACACAGCGTGAACTGGGGTTTCTTTCTGCATATAGCACCTGCTCCCCAAGTCCCCTGGAGACCCACCACTACCTAGACATGGCTTCTCATGTCTCTAAGTCCTGTCTGACTGGTGGAGAAAGTTCAGACCTTTCCCATTTTATCTGTGTTCATCCCTTGGCGAATGAAACACAATTCAGGCCACTTCTCCATTTCACAAAGGGCAAGAAAGTAATGCACTTTCTCCAGCGGAAGTGAGCCTCTGCGTAGGTTCCTTCTCACTCTTGGATGCAACAGTGGACTCTCTCCTGGTGCTTTTGTGTGGGAGTTGTTCTTTGCTCTAGTATTTTCTTGTGAAAAGACTGCTTACCTCCCAGTGCGTGGAGTGGAAGGGAGGGGAGGCGGGGCAGCTCCTCCTGTCCTTCAAAGGGAGCCCTGAGAACTTGTGTGTCTCTTTCCAGGACCAAGAACCCTCCTTCCCCAGGGCGCTCTCAGCTCAGAGGTTGTCCCCTCGGTGGTGCTTCCTAGATGGTGAGTGTTTGGGGACCTGGCTGGGCCTGAGCTGGGGAGGCAGCAGGACACGGTATGACCAACAAGGCAGCTCTTCACAGAGTTTGTTCACAGAGCCTTCCTGCAATTGCCAGTTACATTTCAATGGTGTAGACTTGCGGATGTTGCTGTACCTTTCCTGGAGTAATTCCCCTCAAGGCACCTTAGCATCAAATTGTTTAAACTGACATTTTCCCTTTATCATTTAATGTTATCTTTTTCCTAACCATCTTGAGTGCCTACCTCAGATTACTGTGGGCCAGAGATTAGAGTCTGTAATCACAAAATGGATACTAATTCCTGAATTATTTCCACACCGTGGAATGTTCATATTAGTTTTATAAGGCTGTCACTTCAGTATAGTACACACATTTGTGAGAAACGGAGAGTTTCACTTGTATCTGCAACTTTTCTGCTGAGTGTGACCTATTGTACATATAATGGGGTTAGTTACCATGTGATCATTTAATGCGTCTGCTTGCCATCTCATGCATTTTTCACTTTCCTAGATGTTGTTGAATTTCAATTTTCCACCTAATTATCTATACTGCAATACATCTTCATCCCTATACATTCCTGCTAGCACCCAATGTAGCTGGCTGAAGTTTCTATTGTCTGCATGGAGACAGAGTTTCCTTGATGATACCTTTTTGTTTATTAGTGTGTCCATCTGAGAAGATGCAGGGGGTAGGGGTAGAGTGGATATGGATTAGTGCACAAGGTCACTATATCTACCAAATCTAGCTCACATCAACCAGGATACAGGCTTCCATTCCTAACTCAGCTGACTGATTACTTCCCTTCATTTTCTGTCAATCCATAACAGTGGGAAGCACAATCATTTCTCACTCCCAGAGTCACTCACAGGGAAGCAGCATGTATCTAAAAGGAAATCAAGAAAGTATTTACACAAGTCATTATTTTCCATATATATAGGCTTACATAAAACTGTATTATGGATAATGGTTTTAGCTATGAAACTGTTTTTGCTATATGAGAGTTCTATCGTAAACCTCTCTTCATTATTTTGAGCACTTGTTTTTAATTTTTTAAAGTAAGCATACAAAATGATATATTTATGTATTAAAGAATCCTTTATGATTAATTCTTGGTTGACATCAAGGCTGAAGTCATAGCTGAAAGAAGAGAGAAGGGGATGTCCTACTTGGACTGTGCTGCTTTGAACTTAGGTTTTTAAGCAGGACTTCGATTTTCTTATTTCTGAGTCCAGTTTCCTTCAGAGAGTTAGTTACTTTTTTCTTTTTTAATTGAAAATAGATTCTTCTCTCATACAATATATCCAGATCAGGTTTCCCCTCCCTCCACTCCTCCATGCCTCACCCCCACCTATTCTCTCCCTGGATCCACTCCCCCTCCATCTCCTATCAGAAAAGAATAAGTCTCCAAGAGACAAAAAACCAAACAACCCAACAGGATATAATAAGACAAGGCAAAAACCCTCATACTGAGGCTGGACATGCAACCCAAAAGGAGGAAAAGAGTCCCAAGAGCAGGCAAAAGAGTCAGAGATATGCTCCCTTCCACTGTTAGCAAAACACCAAGCTAACAGCCATAACACAGACACAGAGGACCTGGTGCAGGTCCCTGCAGGCCTGTGCTTGCCACTCCAGTCTCCATGAGTCCATATGTGCCTTGCTTAGTTGATTCGGTGGGCCATGGTCTCCTGATGTCCTCCATCCCCCTCCAACTTATGCAATCCTTCTGTTCCCTCTTCTCTGAATTCCCTGAGCTCTGAATTCCCTGAGAGACAATGGAGACCTTGGATTTAGATTCTCTGTCTTCATAATGTCTGGCTTGGGTCTCTGTACCTGCTCCCATCTGCTGCTGGAGGAAGCCAGAGGTTTTATTTTAAGTTTATGATTATGAGTAAATATTTGCATCCTTTTCTCTGTTGTACTCTATATTTTTATTGCTTTTGGTCTGATTTGTAAAACCTCTCATATTTGGGCTCTGTTAGATTTAAGTAAGGAAACACATAGTTTTTTGTTTTTTATTAAGAATCAATTAGTTTCAAAAACACCCTATGTTTTACTTCAGAACTTTTCTTTTTTCAAATCACAGATGCATCCCAATCCCATTTAAAGATTGCTTAAACATTAATCTTTGTTTTGTCATTTGGCTTCCTTCAGACCTGTCTCTAGGGGCAGAGTGTGGGAGGGAAATGATTTCTTTTCGGCCATATGTGGTCTCTGGCCTGCATCTTCAAGTTGTTTTCCAAAATGAGAGTCACATTCCTGGGACGTCTATCTGACTACAATTTCTTTTCTAGGTTTATTTACTTAATAAGATATTAAGCCCTTTCCTCTGTTAAAGCCCTGTGCTAATTCCTGGAGACAGAAGAGAAGAAATGAAAGAGAACCCTTTAAAGATGCAGGCTTAAGCTTCACAGTCAGCTTTGAAGACGGTCTTTCTAAAGGTTTTAAGCAAAATGACAGTGGACATGGGGTTTAGGAGCATCAGACTTTCTGCTGTAGGCGGTTGGGATGGAGGAAAGTTTTGTTATGGGGAGCCCATCAGAGATGACCACTCAGACACAGTATATATAGCCAATTGAAAGTCTATTCCAGCCAACTGGGAATACACTCAGGTGTTCAAGACCTAACTATAGCCCCAATGTGTCCAGAGCACAGGGTTTTTGAAGGCCAAAAAACGTATCCTGGTGTCTCAATCAGCAACTGCAGGTAGGACTTTGGCAGAAGCAAAGATAAGTAGTTAGCTGGAGGTGGGAGTTCTGTACAAGCAAGCAGTTTAACAGAAACTAAGATAAGTTAGCTAGGGCATCTTGACTTGGGTTCCTAGAGTGGAGTTGGGTAATTTTCCATGGCTTCTCCATCAAAGAGGTCCAATTCTAGTTAAGCCTGAAATGGCTTCAGCAAGAATTCGAGATGGATGGACCCTGCACTGTTTGCCCTGTCACAGTTTCACAGAGACTGCAGCATTTGAATTATCGTTTAAGCATAAGTGAGATGAAGATAACAGTGTGGCAGGAAGAGCTGAGGAGCACTGGAAGAGCAGTGGCCAAAGCATGGAAGTGATGATTTTTTAGTAATCGATTGGGGACTGGCCACCTCTGTAACGTGTTTGTTACAAAGGTTTTGATTGATAGTGCAGCAGAAAGGTGTAGATCTGATGACAAGCATGAATGACTCTAAATGCCCTATATATATATTTTTTTCCCTTAGCAACTTCTGCTGACCGCTTTTATCGAATAGACAGATCTCAGGTAAGCTCTTTCCAGCTTATTTATGAAAGTGAAACATCTCAAATCTGTGCACTTACTATGTTGGTAGCTAGTCTCACAGATTTTGCTAATGAAAAGATTAAAGCATTCCCAGATTATAGGATAAAGTTTATAATCTAAGCCACAATGCTTTTCCCCTGCATTTGTCTTATGACTCATGGGCTCAATGAAATGGTTATTGAAAATAGATAATAACTTAAATTACAACTATTATCACAGTCCTACACTCGAAGTTTTCATTTACATGGTACTTGTACTCTGGCCAGAGTGAAGCTTACACATTTTAAATGCATTTTGGTTTAGACAACTTAGATTTCCCCCCATATTTAATAATGAGGGAAAATTATGTTTATCCAAGTCTAAAAACTCCTCCCACTATTGAGATTTTCCTGCGAAAATACTACACAGTGTGGAACCCATTGAAAACCAACTCTTTCTTAACCATTGCCACTTAGCCTTGGCTACATCCCGGGGCAGAAGTCTGAGCTGTCATGTCCTTGTACTAAACCAGGTGGCATGTCGGATGCCAGATCTTATAGCATCTGGGAAGAAGCAGGAGAAAGGTCATTTCTGGTTCCCACTAACAAGATCCTGGTCAGGTGCAACTCCTAAAGCAGGGCGGTTCATCTCTCCCATTGTCCTCTGTCTGCCACTCTGTTAATTTAGGGAGGAATGGCAGGTGCTCAAGCTTCTGGTGAAACCGTGGAATTCTTCGGTGTGTCGCACAGTTCATTCCTTATTCTGAGGGTGGTGATGGCAACACCCTGACAGGCTTGTTTTCTCTCCCTTAGGAACATTTGCACTTTGTGATGGAGATTTCTCACGATGAGATTTTTATTCTGGACCCAGATATGGTGGTGTCACAGCAGGCAGGGACACCTCCAGGAATGCCTGACCTAGTGGTTGAACAGGCTTCGGGGTGAGTGTGTTTCTCCTCACTCAGTGCCAGCATTGGCTGGCTGTGGTGTGACCTCTATATCATCTGCTTTGGCTTTGGTATTGATATTCTAATGACATTTGGAATTCAGATTTATTGATGTTTCCTTAAAGTAAGATATAGCATCTAGTTCTGAAAGGCTGTCTTCTAAATGGCTGTGTAGGAATCCTCCTGCCCAGCCAGTCTCTTACCTTGTCTTATTTACTATTACACAGCCTCTCCATATGGGGGCTAGAAATACTGATACTCCCATATGGGCATCTATATGGGTTTTATTTGGTGTGTTATCCAGATGAAATGTTGACATAAGTAATTTGATCCTGTTCTTTTTGTCTTGTTTCTAAATTGCTTGACACAAAGTATCTAGATTGTTCCTGCCACTCTTGTATTATTTCTCTTACTTCATAGTGACTTAATTCTCTTAGGTATGTTTTTCCTCATCTGTGACTACTTATAATAATATCACCTGTCTTAGGGTTTCTGTTGCTGTGACAAAAAACACCATGACCAAAAAGCAAGCTGGGGAGGAAAGGATTTATTCAGCTTACACTTCCACATTGCTGTTCATCAATGAAGGAAGTCAGGACAGGAACTCAAACCGGGCAGGATCCTGGAGGCAGGAACTGATGCAGAGGCCATGGAGGGGTGCTGCTTACTGGCTTGCTCCCTATGGTTTGCTCAGCCTGCTTCCTAATGGAACCCAGGACACCAGCCCAGGGATGGCACCACCCACCATGAGCTGGACCCTCCCCCATGAATCAGTAATTGAAAACATGCCTTATAGTTGGATCTCATGGAGACATTTCCTCAACTGAGGCTCCATCTCTGATGATTCTACCTTGTTTCAAGTCGACACACAAAACCAGCCAGCACATCACCTACTCAGAGAATTGGTTGTAGAGTAGATAAATTGACACAGGCAAAATACTCAGAAGACTTCTGTCGCATGGTAGACATTCATGACATATTATATCATTTCATAATGACTCTACCAACCAGGTTCTGTGATTATCCTAAATCTATAGATAAGAAAATTGAGGCTCCGAGTTATATTGAATCCTGCACATAAAATAAGTGTAAAACCTGAGATTTAAGCAGCACATTGTTTTTCATGCAGATCCTGTATTTTGTTTTAGCTAAAATAGGTTTTATTTTTTGTTTTTTTTTTTGTTTTTTTTTTTTTTTTTTGGTCTTTTGAGACAGGGTTTCTCTGTGTAATTTTTGTGCCTGTCCTGGATCTCACTCTGTAGCCCAGGCTGGCCTCGAACTCACAGAGATCCATCTGGCTCTGCCTCCTGAGTGCTGGGGTTAAAGGCGTGCACAAGCACTGCCTGGGTGGTCTTATTTTTTGTTTTTTCATATGCTAAAAAAAGGTGTTCCATTTTATAATTTTTTTCCCCTCAGGTTTTTTTGTTTTTTGGTTTTTTTTGTTTTTGGTTACTATCAAAGTGCTTAATGATTATTTGCATATGATTTAAATAAGCAGCTATTATCTCCCCCCCCCCCCCTCATTTAATCAGCAGTAAAGAAACATTACACAGGACTGTACTAAAACATTATTTGAGAGGTTGGACAGATGGCTCAGCAGTTAAGAACATGCACTGTTCTTGCAGAGGGCCTGAGTTCAGTTCCCAGCGCTCACATTGTGTATTCTTGCCACCTACATTCCAGCTCCAGGGAATCTGATGCCCTCTTCTGGACATTGTGGGCAATTACACTCACATGTGTACATACCCACATATAAATACATTTTCTACATCTAAGTGAAAAAATAAAATAAAATAAATCTTTAAAAATATTTGAGAATGATTCAAAATTGAAAAGTATTAGAAAAGTATAAAAAAGCATTCCCACATAACATAGAAGTTTCTAAAACAAATACTACTACAGTTATCATATTCAGAGTAATGAATGCCTGGTCTGTGGTGAGTTTACTAAAATGTCATCTTATAAAATGTCTAAGTTATTTAAAAAAGTATTTAACAATTCAAAAATACTTCTTTGGAGTTGTTATGCACCAGATACTATTTTAAACATGTGAGAACCAACAGTGCAAAAATAAAAACAGGCAAATATCTCTGTCCTTGTGAAGTCTAATAGATAGCGGCTTACTGGTGTATGGGGCTGATGGCTGAAATACAGGTTGGCCAAGAAAGCATATGCAGGCGCTCAAAGCAAACAGAGATTGTGTACCCATAATCACAGAGCATAAGCAATTGTACTCACCAGAGGGAATCCAGTCTGGTGTGATATCCTACCAAAGAAGAGGCAGATGCTGGTGTCTAGAGTCCATCCCACATAATTAAGACTCTTAAATTTATTTGATGAGGAATAGAACCATCTGTTAAGGTGGCTTTGGACTTTCCCCTCTTATTCTTTCCATGCCAAGTATGGACAGCTTTACCTGGGTTATAGTTTTATTACTTAGATCCAAATACAGAATAGCCTGAAAATCCATTAGATCTTCAATCCATCCTTGATTTCTTATTTCTCAGCAACAGTGCCTTCTGGAAATAAACCAAAAACAAAGATCCTAAGAATGAGGTTGGGCTTTTTCATTTTCTAAATTAATTTCTTTGTCTGGTTCCATTAATTTTTTACTCATGTCACATGTAATAAAATGACTTAATCTTCAAAATGAAATACCTCATCAATATAAAAAAAGGACAAAATCATACAAGTAGCTCAGAACTGTTGAGAAATGATGAATATGAAGGTTGTATCTAGTAAAAATGGATTTTACTTCTCACATTTAAAACAAGATGGTTATGAGAAAAAAGTAGAGTAAGATGTGCAATTACTTTCCGGTACTATTTTTGGCCCAGGCTGTCTGACTGGTGGAACCCTGCCCTGAGGAAACGCATGCTGAGTGACAGCGGGCTGGGAATGATCACACCCCACTACGAGGACTCAGATATGAAAGATCTCAGTCACTCCAGAGTGCTACAGTGAGTCTCTTGCTATTTTGTAATTATTTTTTTTTTGAGATTGCAATATGATTACATCATTTTCTCTTCCCTTCTCTCCCTCCAAACCCTCCCATATACCTCCTTGCTCTCTTTCAAGTTTGTGGCCTCTTTTTTCATTAATTGTTGTTGTTGTTATTGGTGTGTGTGTGTGTGTGTGTGTGTGTGTGTGTGTGTGTGTGTGTGTAAAACCAGCTCAGCTGAATAATATTGCTTGTAGAAGAACCATAGACTATCTAAGGAAAACTTCAACACTAGACATGAGAATCCCTCTTTTGAGTTGTTGGTCAGGGTTACCCAAGAGACTTCTAAAACATGAGAGACTATTGTCACCGCCCTTGTTTCTTCCCCTGAGGTGGAAGGTAAGTTCCTATTTCCGAAACACCATGTATTTCAGGCAGAGAGCCCAGAGGCCACTAAGCTGGATCTTTCTGTTTTCATTTGTGTCCCTCTGATTGCTGGGGGAAGGAGGGTCTGAAACACGACCTGGTTTTAGTGGTGATCAAGCTGTCTCATGTGTCTGTGTCACTCCTGATATTTTATTTACTTTGCTTGGGTTTATCTACACGCCGGGGCATGATGGATCTCCATCTTCTGTTATCTTCCTAGTGAGCTGCCTTAAGATCATCAGGGTCTGTAAACATTTTAACCTTCACTAGTATTTTTGTTACTGGAGACAAGAGTATGTCAGGTCCCTTGTGAATCACTAGGAAAGGACACACATGCTTGTGTTGTGTGATCACTGGGATTTGCTGCTTTCTTTATTTCAATTTCTGAATTGCATGCATGTGTGCCTTGTGTAATACTGCCCAGTAGGGTTTTTTTTTCCTACAATTGTATGATAGTTATAATTATTACCTTGGCATAATTTAGAATCACCTGGGAATAGAGCCTCAACATGGGATTGTCTAGATCAAGTTGGCCTGTAGGCCTGCCTTTGAGAAATTTTCTTAATTCTGTTGATTGATGTGGGAAGAGCCTGTCTAGCAGAGGGTAGTACCATTTCCTGACTTTGAGTCTTGGACTTTATAAAAGAGGAGAAAGGTAGCTGAGCAGTCAGCGTGCATGCATTAATAAATCCTTCTTTGCTCTTGAGTGTGACTGTGATATGACAACCACTACCCTGCCCTGCTGCCTTAACCTCCCCACAATGATGGCCTGTCACCTGGAATTGTGAGCTACAGTTAATTCTTTCTTCTCTAAGATGACAGGAAGGAAACTGGGGCAGCAAGGTATTATTTGTGTGTGGATGTGGCATGTATGGGTAAACAAACACAACTCCTGTGTATAGATTAGCGTTGCAGGCATCCTTTCTCTTTGGGTCTGATCATGGTTGGAAAGTAGCGTGCAGTTGAAGTTTTGCAGAGAGATTGGTATTTTGTGCTAAGTGAATCCTCTTGTTTGCTCATATTTTGCTACAGGAAGACATTCTAGAGTGCAATCTGAGGTCACTCATTTAACTCAGGACAATCACCTCATCTCAGAAGTTATAGAATTATGTTGTCATTTATGAAACTGGGCTTTTTTTTTTCTCAGTCCAGCCCAGGGTCCTAATCAAATGGTGACATTGGCCTTATAACATTCAATCTTACCTTTTCACAGAATAACAAGATTACTGAGCTTCTTAGAAGCCCACAGTTAAATGAAGAAGCAAGACACTGCATTGTTTCTAAAGAAAAACCGGAAGCAATTTCCCCAGGACAAAGGGAGAAAAATGAGAAATCTAAAGCTAATTATTTCATTGGCAAAGGTTCTACTCAGACACCCTGAGGGCAAAAGGAGACTTCATTTTAATTACTTCCCTGTATTACCTCTTATTTTCTTATGTGAAGAGGAGAAAGGATAAAAATGAATTGCTATGGATTTTCTCTTTTTAATTAAATCGTGTTGTTGGTTTCGGGTGGCATTTTGATTGCTTACAATCCAGAGTGTTTTTCCATTTCCTTTTTGTACAGTATTAGGGCTCGTGACCAGGGATGACTCAGCCATCCATGAATGGCTAAATAAGTGGCCATCTATCTGTGGGCAGACTTATTGGAAAATTAGAGTTTTAATTATGGGCAGAATAAATATCAAGTCTTTACAGACCAGCTGAATGTTTCTGTGTATATGTGATTTCCAGAGAGTAGACTATTATCTCAATCTAGTCTTCTGTGGTCAAAGTTTTCTCTGGAGAGCATATTAATGTACACTTCATATAAAGTGATGGTTTCTGAAGTAGTGGATGTTCTTCCTAAGAATTGCAAAGGAACAGAGCCCTCTCTGTAGCAGCCAGCTTCTAAACCTATATTGGAATAAGGTCTTGGTTTCTGTTTGGACTGTGCAGTCATCTGTTTCTATGAACCCAAGCAGATCCCAAAGTGCTTTATGTAAAGTGGAGCAGTGTTTGCACTCAATCCACTTCTCTGTTCTATGCACTACCTAGTGTAAGGGAACACTGCATAAGGAGTTGTGGTACTGTGTTATTTAGGGAAGAATAACAAGAGACATAACTGTTCACTACAAACAATATTTTATTAAAATACTTTTCATCTTTGCTTTGTTGACTCTATGGATCCCAAGACACAGAGCACTCACTGTAGTGTAGCTGTAGGAGGGCTCAGCCCACTGTGGGTAGTACTATTACTGGGCAGGCGAGCTTGGGCTGAGCATAAACCACAGAGTAAATCAGTAAGTCACTCAGAAAGCAACATTCCTCCATGGTTTGTGCTCCAAACCCCTGCTTGAGTTCCTCTCTTGACATTCCTCGATGATGAACTGTGACCTGGAAGTATAAGCCTAATAAACCCTTTCCTCTCTAAGTTGCAGCATCTTGATATGTCTATGTATGTATGTAAATACACACACACACACACACACACACACACACACACACATATATATATATATATATATATATATATATATATATATATATATATATTAGTTAGATGGTTTCTTACTTGTTGGAAACACATTGGACTACTGAACCAATTACTATTGGGCACCCTCAGTAGCCAAGATAGGTGCTAGAGATATAAGCCTAAGTAAGAAACTCATTGCTCTTGAAAAGCTTATAACCATTGGTTATAATTCTTACTGAAATATAACATAGTGGATATATGCAAAGAAAAAAAACTAGAAACCAGAATTTTCTTGTTCCCTTATACTCTACTTTTATTTTTTTCTTATATGGAAAACATGAATATTTAATGAAAATGGGCTTTAAGAGCAGAACACTTTTAAAGGATTCTTAAGCATACTTTATTGTGATATTGCCCATGAACTAGTAAATATCAACTTTTTCTTTTTATAATAGACATGCCCCTCAGGAAACACTCCAATAATTAACATCACTTTACCTGGATATGTTTAAAGAAATCTGTAACTGAGAAACCATTTAGGGATAACCAAAACACACCATCACACTTTAAACCAAAAAACTGGCCTTTTCCACATAGTTTACCATTCAGTCACGATATCAAGAAAACAGTCCCACGTCCTTCCTCATTTTTGAAAATTCACATGTTCTCAGCTGGAAGAGAAATGGCTTCATGCCCTTCTGGTTCTCAGCTATTTTCTTTCCCCAGTTTCCTCTGGAAACAGTAGGTTATGACCTGACCCTACTGAAAATGGGGATTGCACTTATTGTCAAAGCTCCAGGTTCCTGGAAGGAGATGAATGATCAGGTGAGGATTTGGCCTGTGGAAATATCTTTTGAGCATCACAGTCAGATAAGAAGTAGAAAATTAATCTTCTTAGTGGGGTATGGGGCTTTGCTGGGCTGTGAGATGGAATCAGTACTGTCAGAAAAGAGATCATCCCTGGCATGTGTTTTGCCAAGATAGTTTGAGTACCCTACCTGCTCACCTTTGACTTGCCTAAGTCTTCCTCACCTTGAATAATCACCCCAGCTGGAAAAAAAATGCAGAAAAACCACATCTTCCTTTGTTCTAATTTATTTCTTTGCTACCCTTGAGTACTTTACCTTTGAGAGCCAAACACACAAGAATATTCTGTCCTTATGTGTGATATGTGTAAAAAAAATACCTAATAAGATATTTTTATTTGCCTTTTATGACCACTTCTCAAAAAAAAATATTCACACAGAAGTCCTGTTCCACTTGGAGAAATCAAACCAGGCTTCCAAGTTCACCTAGGAGAATAGTCATCATACACTTTCTGTAAGCAGGTCTTGTTTTGACTGGCATTGCAAGGGAAAAGGGGGTGGGGAACTAGGAGAAATATACTCCAACGTTAAAACACATATTTTATTGCAAATGCTGCCAGGAAATTCTGGCTTTCCAGTTTTATGAGTTCCAAATTTTGCCAACAATTACAGCACTGGGAATATCACTGTTAAATTTTTTTTTTTTCATTTGTAAATGTTGGCAGCCTTACTTGCTCACACCTGGGCAACAGTAGTTGGAATGCATAAAAAGCAACTGGAGACTTCTTTAAATCCTATGTGTTCCCTGATTGGCTAAATTGTGCATTGCTAATTCTGTCCCTACAACATATTGTGCTGTATTTGGAATAGCAGCATGTTGTAAAGATGGAAGGTTGAATGAATGAATGAATGAATGAATGAATGAATGAATGAATGCCGGCTATTAGAGCAAAGGCATGCTGGGCCTGGTGCTATAGACCTACCTCCCAGTTACTCAGGAGGCTGAAGCAAGAAGATTGCAAATTCAAGGCCTGGCTGGGCTACAGACCAAAGTAAACAGGTATCTGATGTATTGCTATGGAGAACCTAATCTTAATCACATTTCAGCAAAATAATAGCTAAAACGCCGGGTGCTTTGTCTGGCTGTGCAATCCATTTTTATGTTGCAAACTTCAATTTAAATATATTTGATCTAGGAAGAGTATGTAGCAAAGTAATAAAGACATATGCGTATTCCTTCTAGGAGATACTGATATTTCACAGGTTAAAAAGTAGAAAGTCCAGATGATAGGTACAGAGACTTAGAGACAACTCTGATGAGCTCAGTGGAAAG